ATGTACCAAACTTTCTGACCTTATCCTAAGCCTATCCCTTACCAGAGGTCAATTTGTGCCAGAATTTTTCACCCTACACCTCATTCCTATTCATATCAATATCATATTATTATTATACTTATGCATATTAATGAACTTTTCTCTTTTTAGGTCAAAGGTCAAAGTGTGGTCAATAGGCAAAAATCAATTTTGAGTAGGTTATTTAATAAAAAAAAGTCACTTAATTCCGGAAATGATATTCTTGCATTAGAATTTTTTTTCTCCATAATCATTTTGACTAAATGCACAGCATACAGCATCACATTCACAGATCACATTACCCTCCTGTAACGCAGCGCGCCGCCATTGTTCGGCCGCGCATTTTGTACACATACATGAGGGCGATGTCCTATCCATTCTTTCGTGATTTTGAAAAGTATGGGCAAACAATGGGCGCAACGGTGAATGGCAGCGCGTCCAGTGCGCATTACGCCCAACGCACTTAGTTTACACACGTTCACTTTTTTGCTCTTCCTTACTGCTATCTCTTCTTTTCAAACGTTGCAACCGCATTGTTTCGAAATTTAAGGTCCAAACTAAGTAAATACAGGATTTGTTTACAATCGAAAAATGGCTTCGTAGAATCATATGGCTGGAATTCTTCGACTGTGCGTAAATTCGCTATACCGAGGGGTGAATTTGCCCAGTTTTGATTTTAGTAGGGCGCCGCGCAGATCACGAAAGCCCCCTGTGTTTTTGAAAAGGACCTGGTGTTCTATGCGTTTATGTGAAGTCTGTGGATTTGGCTGCTGTTTTTCTATGGGCGCGTATTTGGTGCAGTGCACACGTCTCTGTGATTCGCATGACCACGGGCGCCTGGCACCTGATGACGTGATGTGTCTCTGTTTAAACCAACAATTCACAGTACGATGGAGTTTTGGCTGAGAACCACAGCTACTACAACAAATACGGTTGCAGGCCAGTAAATAGGCCGAAAACTGCTTGCGCGGGCCAAGCCACAATTTGTATGCACCCAAATTCTCTACGAAATAGAGCATTTTGTGGCCCACGAACTCGAAGATTTGTAGAAAAGACAAGTTTAGGCGACCGAATTCCAATTTCCAAAACGAATTCCAATTTGTTTCTGAGTGAGAATTAGAAGAAATCAGTGCCTGAAAACGGTTTATTTTTCGAAAAGTGTAGGCATCAGTATTTCTAAATGGCGAGGGGCCTCACGACTGCATTTTAGGATGACTTTCCGTGGAAAACAATATCTGAAAAGGAGTCGACAGCCAAACTGGTGATGGGCTGATTGTTTGTTTGTTTATTTACCCTGTGGTCTACAAACAGAATTAACATAAAAAGCTAATAAATATGTGCGCAGTCCTGGCCGGCCTACTAATATTATCAGAACATTAACATAAACATGAAAAATTATGTGTAATCATACCCATAGTTGACTCAGCAAATATATGAACTTGAATTAGGGCCAAACACATAGGGGACTTTCCTGAACAATAATTAAATGACTCTAAATTTACTAAAGAAACCCTAATTAGGTCTATGAAAATATATGCCCATGCGCTTGTGATTATGCACACGTATAATACATAATACGATATGCGTTACACTCCAAATCCAACGATTATAACCCCAGAAATCCCCCCAAATATCATATTTAGATCAACCAAATTGTATTCACTCTATGTCAGCCACGCACAAGGGGGTATTTACAATTAACCTGGTAACTGGATAATTAAGGTAAAGGGCGATTAGGAGTACATTCAGAAAGAATTTCGGGGAATTTCAGGAACAACGTGATTCGACATAGAATGATTGGGCAATTATAATGAGTGAATCACGAGAGGGCGCTACTGGACGTTGCGGTGGGAGAGACGCTTTCGGACAATATCTTCAAAAGTAATTGGTTAATGGGTGGAAATTTGAAAAAAAAAAATAACAACAATCAATTAACAACCGAACGCCTGAGAAACTCATGAATATTTTTCCTTATTTTTGTTAAATCAGGTATTTATCATTGTTTGCTACGGCAGTTTATTTACTGGCCTGCGCAAACACAAACCTTAACTTAAAGAGCGCCAGGGGCTGTGTGGATCAGCACGTAATTCGACATTTCGCATTAGTACTTCGTTATTTCGAATTAGCAATTCGTCACTTCGAATTAGTGTCAGGCTGAAAATTTATAATTCATTTGCACGGTTGGGCTTTCGTAAACGTCAATGTGAGCACTCATTGTAACTTACATTGTACATGTAAATAGTACAAGAAACAATGCACAGTAACTGAAACCGTGACTATCAACGACTGATCAGGACCAACTCGAATGCCCGCTGTCGGAAACTTCTAACGTTCGTTGCCTACCTCTGCTAAAATGACTTCTCCTGTCACGTTTTATGCCTTGATGATTCAATTCCTGAATGGTGCTTAATTTTATGAGTAAATTTATCTAATCCTTTCTCGCGTTAGATAAATAGAACAGGGGGGTATTTCATAAAACTTTTGCTTTGGATTATTAGCATGTACTTAACCATGTACTTAACCTTTACGTTCTGAACCATTGCAATAAAAACAAAACTTCTGTATTTTTTATGATGCAGACAATAAATCTCTGATAACAAAACACTTGACTTGACTTTGTACTCGGCGTCCTACTTTTACTGTTGAAAATGGGGAGCGGGGCGTAAATGTGTTGAAACGTGGGGTCTATTTACATTCAGCTCAATACATCGTTCCTATCCTGAGTCAAACAGGGCACCCACTCATCAGACTTTACTCCCATCAAACTTAAGGAGCCTCTGGCACCAGGCCGTACAGCTGAAATATTCCCAAAACTAAAGAAGGCGACTTTTGCGCATGAGTTGCTGTCATACTGCTTTCTATTTCTCGAATGCTCTTTTTGTCTACACTTCCCTGGGCCACTCCCCGCGCAAAGTAGGGTCTCCCTGAGCATAATACGTCTGAAACTGTTGTCCACATCTGGAAACTGTGTAATCAGAAAAAAATATGGCATTGCCACGGAAGCGTATATAGGACATGACTGAAAAAATAGGCCTGTTATTACGCCCGGGCGGATTATTTATTTCGACCGGGCGAAATAGGGATCCACCTGGGGAGTGGCGTAGATTTGTGCGTCAGAATACTGGATGGTTTCCTTGGGGGGGGGTTGACTCAGATAGACCGTTCCGACATTTTTGCGCGCCATTGTGTCATAGATGCTAAGTAACTCATGAAGTGCACTCTAACTCCAGCATTTAGGAAAAGCAGAGATATTCTCCTAATCAATCACCTTTTCCCCTGCAGATTAAGTTAATTGGAATGTCAATAGAACTGATTGAAAATTACCCTTATGAATCTATCAAACAGTTTAGCCATAAAACCTGAACAAAAGCGCATCAGTTCTCTACTCTAATCGGGCGCGGGCTCAGAGTCTTGCCATTTCCATGAAGAAGTTACAGATTTTTTATTTGATTATGAAAAGAGCCTTTTCCTTGCATATAATTCTCTTTCTAGAGAAATGGAGAGAGTTTAACTTAGGTTACTTTAGTCACATTATATCACAGACACTTTATCTGAAGAAGGGAGGCAGTTTCACAAAATAAAGCTAATTGTTTATAAGGATATAAAGCACCTTAAATTGATAGTACTTTAATATACTCAAAGGGACTGGAATTAACGCCATCACTAAATTTATATGAATCAAATCTCTGGACTTTCAGGGTCTTTTTTTAATACTTATGGTAATTTTAATGCAGTTATTGGTAACTTAAATGGCAATTAAATGTAATTTGGTGCTTTTTGTTTTTTTTTGTTCGTTTGTATTTAACTTGTTTAGTTTGTGGAGTCCCCAGGAAAATGAACATGTTTGGGGCTATCCCAAATTAAATCGACCCGCTTTGTTTAATGTTTAGGTTTTTCCTTCTACGTGTATGCGTCGTTTTCTTCTAAGTAAAATCAGCATTATTTTGGGCTGCCATGGCAGAACGAATCTATTACTTGGATATCAAGTCTTTGACGCATCGGAACAAGCTATTTACATATTGTTTATGGAGTCAGCCTTTTGCTTCTCCTAAAAAGGGAGACTTACTTGTGACAGACAGAAAGTTTTAAATCGAGACTGACTTAGCATCAAAACCTATAGTAAACGTGCGTCGCGAGGGGGGGAGGGCACTTGCCTTCCCCTAAGAATAATATTAAAATAATAATAACAAAATACGAAAGTTATTACAAAAAGTAGAGTAAAGGGAATAAAAAGCACTATACCTAGCTTAAAAATCAAAGCTAATTTTTCCTTTTTTCTCCTTTGTTCTTGTCCCTTTCCCCCTTTTTAGCCGTTTTCCTCGATAGTTTACAGTTGGAGGAGCAACTGCATCTCCCTGACGTTCATGATCGGTTCGTAGTTTAGTGCTATGTACCCTCCTGGAAACCCCTTTCGCCCTCTTAGATAAAGTGCAGTGGCGTATTCAGTGTCCAAGCGGGGAAGGGACACGGGAACAGATTCACCCGCACCCACCACCATTTTGTAACGATGTTTAAAGCCATTCTTTTTCCTTGTAATTTTTAAAAGGAATTCACGCGAACATTACTTCACTCTTAACCCTAGCCCTAAAAAGTCAGAAATATGGGGGACCACTAAGAGCCAAAGGGGCGGATTCCGCCCCCCCCCCGAATTCGGCCATCCCATACGCGAGTTTAATAATACTCTGCATGCATGTAAAGACAATCATACTCAATACAAATATTCAATAGATCAGTTTCAGTTGTAGTAAAGATGTTGCTATGGCCATTTTGAAGATTGGGGCTACGCGCTTACCAGCGTGTCCTGGCAACGTGTGCACGTGGAAAAAGTGTATAGTTTTTGGCTGCTTCGAGAAAATGAACACTACGCGAGAACAGCAGGTCCGAGCGCAAAATGTATAAAATGCAGCTGTGAGGTCGCCTCTTGTGAATATAGCGCCCTCTACTGGTAGTCACCTGCACACGTACGTACGCACGGCCAAAAATGTAACACCAGTCATTGGACGCGCGCGGGTTAGATGGTTGATCGTGCAATTTAAAGACGCTGAGGGTACTTGGAGCATTTAAATTCTTACTCAGTGAGTATCTCGTTCGCACGATCAGAAGACTCTAAACCAGTTCTTACCAATGCTCCCCCCGCCATTACCGTTTCTACCTCTATGCCAGCACGGCTACTTTGTAGGCATGGTGGGGCTTACCCCCAGAACTGTGAGGTCCGATGTCCGCCCCCGCTCGACGTAGGACTAGGATCTAGGACCCCACAGTTCAGGGGGTAGGCCTAGGTGGGGCTTAGACAATTTGAGACTTTGCCGACTTGACTCAGGACAACTTTTGTTGAGACAACCATATGACAACTCGACCATGTCCATGTTGACCAAGAGGAAGTTCCTAGGCGGTACTTATTTTTAAAGAATAACTTCCAAGTTCCAATTCCACATTGAAATCCTTTTCTTTGCAACATGGGAAATCTGTAACTTTGCTTCCAGGTACATGTAGGGGGATTTTTAAAAAATTAAGAATGCATTGGATTAGGATTAAAATTGTCTAGGCCAGGGTCTAGATTGAAAGATCTCAGTTAATTGATACAACATTTGTGCTAATCCGTTCGAGCAAAATCAAGATTTGGCAGGTAGGGCATAGAAAATAGGAGGTACATGTAACATTATTTGTTGTTACTGAATGTTAGTTTTCATTGCCAAAATTACTTGTGACCATGCGTGGACCATGCATGGATACATGTAGATGAATGAAATGAGTCCCCACTCATTTCTTCAATAAATTTTGTTCAGTTTGATGATAGACAGGGGTTGAATTTATTTTTAGCTGTTTCAGATAGCAGCCGGAACAACTCATTTTCCTTATGGCTTTTTTAACTGCTTCGGCTACGTTGCCGGGGCTGCTATTGCTTTCTTTAAGTTTTTTCTTTTCCTTTTTCAGACTTTCTCCGTAGGGTTTGTACACATCTGCTTGTCCCCATGGACTACAATAGTTTTGTACATCTGATTAATTTCAGACGTGGCAGACCTTTAGACAATCATATGCTCTAAGGATGCTCCTAGAAGAAAGTTGTCATCACATGATTTATTATTGAATTTTGAGTATTAAATTTTTTTTAAATCAAATCAAATCAAATTTGTGTACATGTTTTTCAAGAGCCAGACTAGAGCACTGTTCTCAACCTGCCTGAACTGATATTAGGCCCATACTCTTAGCCCATACTCTTAACCCACCAGCTAGAACTTCAAGGGTCTAGGAACAAAATCGTCATGATCACATCATCACATGATTTATCATTGAGTTTTGAATATTTAACTTTTGCCCGTATATACATGTAGGTTCTGTACATGTTTTTCAGCAGTCAGACTTTGGCACTGCCCTCGATGTGACTGAATTGATGTTAGGTCCATCTTAGCCCACCAGATAGAGAAGGTCCAGAAAAAAAATCATTATGACATCATTAGGTGTCACGTCACATGGCATTAAAGGTGCATCCCCTAAAGCCCCGTATAAAAGTTCCGATTGGATTGAAACTTGGCAGGTAGATACCAAGAGAAGTGTTAGAGACGAAAATTTACATCAGCCTTATCTCCTTGTGTATGTGCCCAATTGGTTTGAGTCCTTGCAGATGTCTAGAAAGGGAAGTGTTGTAGACGAAAATTAACGTTGAAAACATCATGATCATGACATGACAAAGTACACATCTGATTGGGTTGAAACCTTGCAGAAAGAAAGGGACGTGTTAAAGACAAAACTTGGCCTGATGTGATGATGACATCATCACATGACAAGTCAAGTGACATTAAAGGTGCACTCTTCAAAGCACAATACATCCTGAATTGTATGTCTGATTGGGTTCAAACCTTGCTGATATCTTGAGAGGAAAGTGCTTTAGATGGATATTGACCTGATGTGGTGATGACGTCATGACATGAAATGTGCACTCTTTTTCGGCACTATATCTCGTGAAGTACGTGTAGATATCCGATTGGGTTAAAACATGGCAGATAGCTAGAGACGGAAGTTTCATGGATGAAAATTGACCTCATGTGACGATGACATCACATAATGAAAAAATTAAGTCATGACGACTTTATCATGGGTTCTGTAATATGATTAAATATGAACTTTTTACATTATGTACACATTTTTGTTTGACCATTGACTTCTGCTTGGTACTTTGATGAAACTTTTCTATAATACTCATCTTTAACATGAGCAAAGACTGTTTATCTGAAAGCCGAAACAGCGTGTTTGTCTGCTGTCAAACGTATCTAGTTAATACTATATTCATTTCCAAAATTTAATATTTTACAGTATAGAAATATTAATGGATACCAGTAGATAAACTCTCCGTCTTGAACAGAGTTCCGGTTTTAGACATGAACGAACCAATTAACACATCAAATGAAACCCGATAATTTTCCCATGCTGAAAACGGTGTGTGATGTGCATATTAATACATGCAGATGTTAGGTCAAAGAATCCATTGAGAAAAACAGATACAGCACATGCAGCGCCATCTAATCTAATGGATATGCCTACTCCAGGTGATAACAGTGGAAGTAAAAATGCATGGAGAGTGCTTATAAGGCCTGCACAGTGCAATCTTTAGGTGGGAAAATTTGAAATTTGTGCCTGGACTTTTAAAGTTTGTGCAACCACAGATAGGCCCCCTATTGCTACTAAAACTGTGCGCAGTGATACAATTCGTATGGTACATGAATTGCAGGCAACAGTTGTGCGTAATAGACTGGCATTTACTACATATTTTGCACAAATTTAATGTAAGCGTCAGGTCTATTGCTGGGTCCGTTTTGGAGAGTGATTCGTGCTACATGATCACCTGATGATGCATGTCTCAGGTACTGTACATGCTGGCCATGATACACATACAGTGGAACGTCACTATACCGAACACCGCTATACCAAACATTTGGCTGTACCGAACATTGTCCTTGGCTCCCAATATTTTGTGCACAAAACCTACCGAACATTATGTAGTTGCAAATCAACCGAATAGCAATTTTGTAACTCAAGATTCCATAAAAACAAGAATAATTAACAAATACTTTCTAGAAACCTCAAACATGAATGCAACGGCAAAACATCACGAAAACAGCAAATCATAGTATAGTATCACAACAGGGTGCACTTGAGTTAGACAAGAGAGGGCGCTATTCAACATGGCAACAAAACTTTCGGCAGTTAATTTTGCTATACTGAATGACCACTGTACCGAACATTTATTGTGGACCCCGTCGTGTTCGTTATAGCGGCGTTCCACTGTACATGTACATGTATGTCAGACAAAATTTCACCCCTTGTGTAAGCTTTTCGGTGAATATTGCCTCGTATGAGTGATGAAATTCCCCTGTTGATATTTGGACTTACTACTTGGCTTACTACTTCCGTTTAAAAACAGCCTTAGAGCCATTAGGTATAATTAGAAAAAAATTCTGTAATAAATGCAGAATCCCAGACAAAACTGACAATCAGGGAAAATAAGGATTTTGAAACCTTCCTCAGAACTAGGTACTGCACGTAGTTTGTTATGGAATTCTAGCCTTTACTCAGTTTCCTAGTTTCACTGGTGCCTGTCTCAATAATTGAGACAGCCAGAGACTTCTGAGGGAATGGAAACCAGTCTATCCCAGCATCCCTGCCCATTTGACTGCCAACCTCATCCCCATGGGTATGCCACATGTACACCATGTTGGTTCCCACTATACCATGCATGATTTTAACCTTTGGTTAGTAAGATTTAAATATCCCACTATTTGGAAGATATAAATTAGCACTGGTCAATGTGTTTATGCACTACACAAGTATACGGAGGCGTGCTATGCAATGAGATTACATGGGCTTGAGTGGGTAGCTTTTGAAATACATGTACGTCTGTGATTCACTTTATGTGTACATGTATTCATCCTGAATAGCCAGTCTGCATCATATTTATATTCTACACGACCTGGGGCAAGTGAAGCAACATGCATGCCGCCACCTCCTAATCATTATCGGTGTATTCAAAACCCTTTTTTCCTGGCACACATGAACAGTGTTCTCGGTTCGTTGATTATGAATGCCAAAGTGCAAATAAGAGGGCAGCTGTGCTTAAATTCAAGACAGCAGTCGCTGTTTTAATAAAAGATGAGATGATATTCACTATCTTACCATAAATCAAATCCCAAAATATCCATATACATTTAAAATGATGAGTTATGTAATTTTCTCCTACAGCCATGAATGTTAGCCTTCGGTTGTGTTTTTGTTTTAATGACTAGTTTCTATTTTATGCAACAAAATTAATGTTTAGTTGTGGTATGTGCCTAGTGTCCGCCATCTTTGCCCTTGACATTCTCCCTCCATTCCCCAGTAAGTGGGGAGTGAGGATCCTGTTTGCGAATAGTGTTCACACACTGATTCTCATCATTTGGAACCTTGTTCTCGTGTTTGTTGAACATGAGAACAGGGTTCCAAATAGGCCCCATGACTCCCTCTACAAATTACACAGTTCAAGGGATCAGCCCTGCAGTGACGTCTAATTCAGGAGCAAGCTCTAACAAATGACTGTTTCGGGGCAACTCTTTCCCTTTCTCAAGGGCTAGGATATTTTCTTATAAAGTGTCCAATTGTGAACAATAAAGAAGTTGGTTTTCTACTTTGAGTACATGTTGGGGGCTTGAACCGCATTTTCCCCTCCATCTGCTGGAAAGACTTCTCGAATCATAGAATTAACATGGTCAGGCCAACTTCGGTGTTTGCTGAAGTTGAGTTCAGCCATAGGGTTTGCCATAGTGAGACCACAGAAGACAGATGCTTTCATCTTGCTTAGATCAGTGGCTGTGCATGTGGTGCCAGTTGGAGCTAAGACTGACACTCTCTCACTCTGCCATGTGTCAGGTTTGGCAAGCAACCATGACAGTCCATTGGTCCAATGGAAGCCCTGACCTAACTCTGAAACCAGGAGTCCTCTAGTGATGTCATCTGCTGGGTTGTCGGCAGAACGAACATAACGCCATTCACTGCCAGTGGTCATAGGCTGGATTTCAGCGATGTGTGTGCCAACAAAGACTTTGAA